ACCTCTGATGTCCTGGAATTTCAGCTGGATGCAGTGAAGACACAGATGTCAGAGGCTTAACAGTCTACTCTTCCCCTCTGTCCTTCTTCTAATATCTCAACACCCCGTCCATAACCAACTTGAATTAGTTAATGAAGAGTCGGTGCCCCTATTCCCTGGGCTTGGGGTCTGAGGTGGTTAATATTGGGCTGTCTTTCTAGGGAAAAGTAGTGGTTTTGTAGGAACAGGGAGGAATAGCTAGGATTTATTGGATAGCCATAACCTATTGGTAGAAATCTGTATAATTGTTATTAAGCTGAAGTTATAATTTCTTAAATGGTACAAAATTTACTTTCATCTCAAATTTAAGATTTTCATTGGTGCTGGGTGGTGGTGGCACACGCCTTTAATCCCAGCACTTGGGAGGCAGAGGCAGGTGGATTTATGAGTTCGAGGCCAGCCTGATCTACAGAGTGAGTTCCAGGACAGCCAGGGCTACACAGAGAAACCCTGTCTCAAAAAAAAAAAAAAAAAAAAAAAAAAAAAAAAAAGATTTTCTTTGGTAAGAGTTTCTTATTGATATAAAAGTGAGGTTAATATTGCTACTCTCATAAGCATTGTGCCTATATAACACATTTAGGAATACAAGGCTTAGACCCAGTCCTTCTTTAACTCTTTTAACTGATTCAAGATGGTTAGCCTGTGAGTTAAGGGCCTATAGGAAATTCATGGCTCTGAGTTTATTGTTAGGGTGCTTTCTATATTTTATTTAGAAATACCTGAGAGGAGTTAACAGACAACAGTCCAGATTGCCTTACATGGATAGTTGGTTTTCAAAATGTCAGAAGTTTACAGAATTGACACTACACACATTTCTGTATTATTCTGTAATGTTCATTTGTATTAGAGACCTGTCTGCTCCTGACAGCTTCCTGTCTTCAATTCTAAGAAGAAATTGAGCATCTTTGGAGTTACTCCAGTTGCGGTGAGACAGACACTAGGCAAGAATTGCCCCTTTTCATCTACAGACAAATTACTGTCCAGAAAAGGACACACTTGTGGAATAGTCTGCTGATTATGTCTGCCAAGACAGAGTAATCAGCCCTTTATAATTCTGCATCACTAGGTCTGTCAGATGATCCTGGGCCAGAAGGCTGAAGATCGGATGCTCCAACACTTTGTAGTATAGGGACTGTCCAGGTGTTCAGTGGTCTCTATAAATTGGATAAGTTATATAAGCTATGCTTTGTGCTTACCATAATTTCAGTTAATTCAGTCACTCTGGATTTCTGACGGGGTTGAAGACTTATAGTCTCATAGCCGATCCCAGCTATTTACTTTGAGAGAAAAGACTTGAAAGGATGATTTTCAGTTGACATTCATTCTAAAGTCAAGAAAAAAAGCCAGGTTCAGAACTAAGTCTTTTAGTTAGGAGAAATGGCAGAGGTTCTGGTTAGCCAACAAAATGTTGGACTGGATATTAGGTCTATCTTGTACCTTACTGATACAAATTGGTATAGTTATGCTCTAATTGTATTTTGAGAGAAAAGTTGTATTTTAACCGGAAGGGTGATATGTAGGAGGAGCTATGGTGGGAGGAGTAGGGAGAGGAAGAGGAGGAGTAAGGAGAGGAGGAGGAGAATGAGAGGAGGATCTAGGAGACGAGAGGAGGGGGAACATGAAGGCAGATGTTCACGTGTCTCTGCCAGTCAAATATAGTTGGTATATCTAGGTTGAGTATTGGGTTACACTTCTGATTGTATGGGCATCTTGTTATTGAGCATTACCAAAATTATAAAGCCTTTGATTAACATTTTTTTAAAGCTACTAATTTAAAAAAAAAAGGATGAAGAGGGAGGGTGATGGAATACATGTGACAGGAAATCAGATGAGGAAGCTAGCTGGAAGAAAAAAGGGAAGGGGCAGAGGGAAACAAATCAGAACTCTAATGACACATGTATAAGGATGCTGTAATAAAACCCAGTACTTCGTACATTTTGATATAAAGTTAAAGTACTAATAAAGGAAAAAAAGCAAGAAGGAGGAGGGAGGATAGGATAGGGGTTTTTGGGAGGGATGGGGAAAGGGGATGACATCTGAAATGTAAATAAATAAAATATCCAATAAAAAAATCTTTAAAAAAACAAGCATAGTTCTGGTTACATTAAATAATTCAATAATGTATAAGGTTATCATGAATTTGCTTGTCTTAATTGTCTTTAACAGTTACAAAAAGTTAGTAGCTTTTATAAGATTAGGCTTTTACAATTTTATCCCTGTTACGTTTGAGCCTTAAAATCTTAAATGGAAGGGCTAATGGAAGATTCTTTAGTATCAAAATGACACTTTGTTATAAACTGAGTCATACCAAAAATCTGGTATTCTGTAAAAGCACACTGTTGAAGAACCAGAAAATAAGGTTCCCAGTCTGTCTTCAGACTGTATTCATAGTTTAAACTCTCATTTTGATACTAAGGATCACACATACACACAATTTAAAAGTTAAAAAACCAAAAACCTAAAGACATGCATAATACAAAGTGCATTGAATCCAAGCTAAAACCACCTGATCACTCCTGCACTATTTGTAAACTGTCAGAGGCTATCTCATGTCTGTATGATAACGGCAGGTGGGGAACTCTAATCAGAGCAGCGTATGTAATGCTATGTCACTGACATGGGAAAACAGGGCAGATTCTATGTGCTTATCATACTGTAGATTTCCTGGTCCTCATTTCTCTGCCTCTCCATCCTCCCATCTGTTGATGTCAGAGTAAGGCTAAACCGGATGTATCCTGCTCTCCTCCAGTTCATTTAGTTCCTAATCTAAACAAGCCAAATTCCACCTGCCCGATTGCATGTTGTAGTGTGGTTTATCTTTCATGTGATTATCATCTAATGCTGGAAGCTAAAATGGCGGCAGTTACTTTTTAACCAGCTATTACTCAAATTAAAGACACAGAAACCTCTAGAATTATAGTAAGCTGTAAAGCACTGGAGCTAGGCAGATGTCAACCCTCTAAGCTATTTTGTCTGTTCCCGTGCTTCGAACACCAACTTGCCATATGTTCGTTTGCACTGCTCCTGCTCCATCAGGCCACCCCTCATGGCCACATGCTCATGGTCACGACTTTCTGTTTCCTCCTGTCCTTACTCTCTACTCATGGTCTCTACCTGAAACCACAAGCCCTGGAACCTTTGCCCCACCGACCTCTCTTCTGCCCAACTACAAGCTGTCAGAAACTTTATTAACTATTTAGGGGTAATTGGGGGGGGGGGCAAGGCTTCCAAAGCAAAGGCTGATGTACATTAGAATCTTGGGGCAAGCAGATCTTAGCATACAGAGTTTAGCAGTTGAATACATAACAGCAGACCAAACCTCAACAGTATGTGAAGGGAGTTAATAAAGAAAGTACCAACATGACCGCTCCATGATATGGTTAAACGAAAGGTCTTTATTGTGCATAAGAGAAAATATTCAGAGACGTCTGGAAGAGTCTAAAGCAGAGAGAAATAGAAACAGAATGGGCATAGGCAGGATTATCTGAGAGAAAGGAGAGAATAGCAAGAGATAGAGTAGGAGAGAGAATATGGCAATAGTGGGACAGGAGACCTTGCTTTTATAAAGAGAACTGACTGGTACATGGGAGGAGGGAAGCAGGGACTTAGAAATATACAGCAAGTGCTTGTGAGTAGGAACCTAGGGAGCCTGGAAGCCAGTGCGGGCTCTGAAATGCAGCCACAGTATATGTCAGTAGAACCATATGTCCCTTCTGTCAGAGGTAAAGCAATGAGTTCTTTTGGCAGATAGTAACAAGTTCCTGACTGTAACCAGAGGGACCTTTTCTGTGCTCACCCCAGTTCTCGAATAATGACACGGAAACTATATTTGTTAATTAATGCCATTGGCCTTAGAGCTATACATTGTTTCCTACTAACTCTTAAATTACATCAACCCATTTATACTATTCTATATGTCTCCGACTTCCTCCAAGTCTGGGTGGCAAATCTCCAGTGCTTAATTCCTTCCTAGAGTTCCTATCACTGCCAGATGTGCCACTGTACCACCCTGCCTTTTGCTATAGGCTATGGGACTGCATAAGAGTATCCTGATTCATGGCTGGGCATGGGCCTAGAACTCCTAGCAGGCGTTTGGCCGCACCCCCAGAACCCAGGGTCCTGACACACAGTCTCGTCTCCATAGACCTACATTGTTCAGTCACATAGGCCATTACAGCCCCTCCCAAAGTGCACAGGTAGAGGGTGTGACCACAGGCCTCAGTCCCTAAGGATTTACATACTAATGAAGGCCAGAGGGCGGAGCAAATTAAGCATGCCTCCCCCAGATCCCCCCCCTTCCTCCCTCCCTATTTAACTCAGGACTGCCCTGAGTTTTACGGGGTGTACATCCAGATCCATCCACCTTCCACCATCCGCCATGACAGCAAACCTTTTGGAACCAAGGACTTCCTCGTGTCATTGGGGCCTGCCGTCGCCAAAGCCTCCAGGCTGCTGGAACCTTAGACCTTCTCGTGTATGTGGGACCCGCCAGCCAGCGTGGAAACCCATTAGCACTCCACCGCTGTGGCTTTTATATTTCCCACAATAGGCCATAGGCTTTTTATTTTAACCAATCAGAAGGCGCCTTAGGTGGGCAAGGATGGATGGACAAAGACAGCTCCACACAGCGTACAGGAACATCACTCCACCACACGAGGAATGCTGGTTATCTAACAGTCAGAAATCCTCTATCATCCCAGTTAAGCTGAGCCAGACTCAATTTTTTTGGGCCTGCCCTTTTATTGGGGGTGGGGGTGCAATGTCCTTTGGACTTGACATCTACATAATGCAGTAAATATGCACCATGTCAAAATAGTGGTCTGTGCCAAATGCAGTGTTAATACTTGTGAATGGAAGAGGTAAGGACGTCACTCAGCTGGCTGCTGCTTACACTCTGATGAACCTGGAAGAAATTCCCATCAGGAATTCTGTTTCCTCTCACCTTCCCTGGTGGCCTGCAGGTTCTGCCACTGGCACAATTCCTTCCATGGAGTTATCTTTGTCAGATTACACTCAAGACCAGAAGATAATACCAGAATGCTCCACTTTGAAAAAGATGAGAGCCGGACAGTGGTGGCACACGCCTTTAATCCCAGCACTTGGGAGGCAGAGGCAGGTGGATTTCTGAGTTCGAGGCCAGCCTGGTCTACAGAGTGAGTTCCAGGACAACCTGGGCTATACAGAGAAACCTTGTCTCGAAAGACCAAAAAAAAAAAAAAAGAAAGAAAGAAAGAAAAAAGAAAAGAAAAAGATGAGAGTGAGAAGACCTGTCAGGTCCTGATATCAACGACTCCTTTTTATGAAGACGAGTCCTTCAGCAGTGCACTGAGCCTGCCAGTGGGAGAGCAACTGGGGGCCAAACTGCCCACTGCCAGAGTAGTGAGTGATCCTGGCTGACAGAGAAGATGGTAAGTCCCCACTCTGCTCTAAGCAAAAATTCAGATTGTTTGTGACAGCAAACTTTGCTATCACAGTTGTAAGGTAAATTGTACAATTTTTAGATGGGTCACGTGTGGCCCTGGCTAGCCTCAAACTCACTGCATACCCAAGGATGGCCTTGAACTTCTGCTCCTCCTTATTCCTACCTTCTGAGTGAGCTGGCTCTGAGGGCTGACTCTCCTGCTGATGGCAGTATTGGGGTAGCCTAGCCAAAGCAGTGTTGGAGAGCTCACCCTGATGGGCTGGTTAGGGGAGAGCTACTATCCAGGCCCAGATCCAGGGCTCTGAATCAGCCCACCCCAAAATCTACATCATCTAAGAATGGTTGGAATGCATCAAAGGGCCAGTTCTCCTGACCCAAAGCTGCAGGATCTTCATGACACAGGACAACAACAGGGTAACTGGGAGGAGTCCTGGTGAGGATCCAGTATTGATGGTGTCACAGAAGCCAGAGATCTCAAACCAGACCAATGACTCATCGATATGAACATTTGCAAGTGAAAATGTGTAGGCAGAGGGATAGACAGTGGGACACACTGTGACACACTACAGCTTCCACTGAGATGTTTCCTATGCTTTGGGGGTTTTGTTGTTGTTTGCGTGTGTGTGTGTGTGTGTGTTCTATTTTCCCAGAGAGGGTGCAAGGTCAAAGGGCAGATAGGAGGGGGCAGGGAGAGGAGTGGGACTGGGGTGCATGGTGTGAAACTCACAAAAAATCAAAAAGCTAAAAAACAAGAAACCAGCAGTGGTGATACATGGAGGCGGATCTCTGAGTTTGAAGCCAGCCTGGTCTACAGAGAGAGTTCGAGGCCAGCCTGGTCTACAGAGAGAGTTCGAGGCCAGCCTGGTCTACAGAGAGAGTTCCAGGACAGCCTGGTCTACAGAGA